ATAGTTTAATTTTGACACATATTTAAATTCTAACCCTAAGTTTTGAAATGTCTCAAAACTTGCCCTCAAGTTTTGGAATTTAAAAGTTGATTAAAAGTTAATTAGGAATGTTAAATTCTAAACCCAAGTTTTGAAAAGTTCAAATACACCCTTATGGTTTTATTAATTAATTAAGGTGTATAATTAAAAGAGGTTTAATAAATCCATAAAAGTTTAGGTTTACAATTTAATTGAATTAAAAGTGTAAATGTTAAATTTAACCACCTAGTATTTTAAAAGTATAAAATACACCCTATACTATATATAACATTAAAAGTCTAACATTATATATATGTGTATGAGTAAAAGTCAGTCTTACTGTTAGTAGGCCTCATTCACGAAGTTGGTCTATAAGGGGTGTTTAAGGAAATTGCCTATAAAATGGCGATTGAATGGGTATCCACTCTTACCCACTGCACTCTTGACTAGTTGGAGGGTCGCTAGCCGAACGGGTAGGATAGAATGAAACCTTCCATTATAAGTATAATAAAGTATAAAAGTAACTAAATGTTTTCATAAAATTCCCAATCTTAGTTACTTAGGAAAAAGTGAATTGATGCAATTCCATGAAATTACACTTTGTGCCCTTGCGAAGATGTTAGTGGAGCGTGTGTGGTTTACCAACACACTAATTGGTTCTATGCAAAGGTAGCAAAGGGTGACTCAATGTTTGTCATAGTTCGGTGGAGCGTGTGTGGTTTACCAGCACATCGAATAGGTGACTGTAACATGTGAGGGCACCATGTAAGTTTGCATGGTTATTCACACCCGCTTTGTGATCCTCGGCATCCCAGTCACAAACAAGAGGGGCATATCGAGATTTAAACATGCCATTGAAATGGTCAATGAATCTCAAAGGATCTAGGAGTTTTCATAGATTTAAAACTTAAATTTCTTTTTCGTTTTTCATGGTGGAAATTAGTGAATCGTCATTCACTTACCTTTAAATATTCTGCAACTAGATTACGACATCCATTTTCTAGGTTGTAGCATATTGTGTTGAGTCTTAGCCTTAGTATCTCATTTGGGTGATTTACTAAGGACTCAATCAACCAATCAACTAACTTGAATTTGTTTCTCCCGTTTTGTAGATGACATCACCCTCAACAATCAGGACCATTCATTGTGTTTCCTTGATTAATTTCAACCATTAGATCATTTTGATGATGTCATCATAAAATAAAATAAAATTAATATTAATTAAATTATGCTGACTACGTTTGGAAAGTTGAAAACTTATTAATGGCGACTTGAAAGTTTAATTGGAATGTATTGAAGTGAAATAAACGTCAACATAATTGTCAAAACATAAATATGGTTCCTTCCTTTTTAAAATCAACTAATTTGTATATACTTTTCATAATTATAGAATTTGAAATCAAAGAATTCAAAATAGTATAATATGAATCACAATATTAATTTCTTCATATCCTTTCCAAAATCGTTGTTCAAAATTATGTATAAGTATAATCTCATTCAGTTGTTATCATAATTTCGTGAAATCTGGACTTTGCAGCATCACATTCGAATAACAGCTTCATAAGGTTAGCAGTTTTTTTTTTTTTTTTTTTTTTTTTTTTTTTTTTTTTTTTTTTTTTTTAATTTACTGATTAATTTCTTACATCTGATTATAGTTTATGTGTTTAGTATATGTATCAATGGCTTATTAGTGAGTTTTTGACAAACAATCCAAAGGTAAAAAAAGTATATGTTCAGTATATTCTTGCTGTAAAAACTACTTTTAATTGGAACGATTTGTATATTCTTTAATATATACGTGTATGTGTTTCTCAATCAGCATATGCATTTTTGTCCAAAGGTAAAAAAAGGCAAATGTAATTTTGATATTGCAGTATTATACATACTTGTTGTAAAATGACCTTTTTACCTTTGTTGTGTGTGTTTGTGTATGTGTGTGTGTTTGGATTAGATTATGTGATTGTATTTGATGATGTAAAATTCAATCTAATTAGTTATGTTTTTGGATTTGATTATGTGTTTGGATCGGATGAAAATAGAAATACAGAAAAGTAAAAGTGGAGTACCTTCTCAAAAAGTTTAATGTCTACATATATTATTTCTTCAAAATGACTTATTTACCCGTGCAATAAAAACTACTTTTTTGGGAATGATTCATATATTTTTGTAATATATGTTTGTGTTTGTGTTTCTCAATCAGCATATGATTTTTTGTCCAAAGGTAAAAAAAAGGCAATGTATTTTTGATATTGCCTTATTATACATACTTGCTGTAAAATGATTTGTTTACATCAAAATGATAATGCAGGTGTTATCATCCTCCTACGTATGGCAAATCTCAAAACTTAGGGTGGTAAAAATATTTTTTTCATTATAAATGTTCATGTCATTACATTAATATTTTATTTATAAGATACATGTTATTCACCAGGGAAATAAGTGGCTGATGGAAAAAATATCAAAGGTAGCGTTAATTTTTTTAATCGTAAACTCATCTCTTATTTTGTTTTATGATATTAATTTTTTTAATATATGTATTAAAGAATTGAATAAATTCATTTTAACCCATTAATGCATCCAATTCTTTTTAACATAAAAATTTGTCTACAAATATGTTCTTCAACGAGTTATACTTTTTTCATGTGTTCCCTTGTGTTTAACGCATGTTATAATCTAATATATATTAAAAGAGAAATCTGGTGACATCACCTTCAACAATTAGGACCATTCATTGTGTTTCATTGATTAATTTCAACCATTGGATCATTTTGATGATGTCATCATAAAATTAAATTAAATTAATATTAACTAAATTAATCTGACTACTTTAGGAAAAGTTGAAAACTTATTAATGGTGACTGAAACTTTTAATTGGAATGTATTGAAGTGAAATAAATGTCAACATATTTATCAAAACATAAATATGGTTCCTTCCTTTTTAAAATCAAGTAATTTGTATATATCTTTCATAATTATAGAATTTGAAATCAAAGAATTCAAAATAGTATGATATGAATCATAATATTAATTTGTTCATATCCTTTCCAAAATCGTTGTTCAAAATTATGTATAAGTATAATCTCATTTAGTTGTTATCACAATTTCATGAAATCAGGACTTTGCAGCATCACGTTCGAATACCAGCTTCATAAGGTTAACATTTTTTTTGATTTATTGATTAATTTCTTACATTTGATTATAGTTTATGTGTTCAATATATGTATCAGTGGCTTATTAGTGAGTTTTTGATAACCAGATTTTCTATTCTCACACACACTCTCTCCCTCTCTCTTTCTGTATGTGTGTGTGTGTGTTTGTGATTGTGTGCTTGTGTGTGTTTGGATTGGATTCTATGTTTGGATTAGATGAAGTAAAATTCAGTTGAATTAGTTTTGTGTTAATTGAATTGGATTATGTGTTTGGATTGAATGAAAAAAAAAAGTAAAAATAGAGTACCTTCTCGAAGGGTTTAGTGTCTATATATATTAAAAGAGAAACTTGATGACATCAGATTCAACAATCAGGACCATTAATTTTGTTTGCTTAATTAATTTTAATCATTGAATCATTTTGATGATGCCATAATAAAATAAAATAAAATTAATATTAACTAATTAAGTTGACTACGTTTGGGAAGTTGAAAACTAATTAATAGTGACTGAAATTTTTAATTGGAATGTATTGAAGTGAAATAAATGTTAAAATAATTTTCAAAACATAAATATGGTTCATTCCTTTTTAAAATCAAGTAATTTGTATTTACCTTTCATAATTATAGAATTTGAAATCAAAAAATTCAAAATAGTATGATAATGAATATATGTATGAATTATATATATATATATATATATATATATATATATATATATATATATATATATATTTTGAAATAGGAAATTGGTTTGTCAATCATTGTTACTGTCATCAGTTTTAATTTAAACGAATGTTGGTATTCTTTTTATTGTCGTGAGTATTCAAAAAAGTAAGTAAGAATGATGGTCATACTAATGTTGAACCATTTACTTCTGACTGTTGTGGTGGAGTTTCTAATGTTTATAACAAGTAAGTTCATAATTTTATGTTTGTAAAATTCTTGTGCCATGAATCTATATTTGAATGTATCCAATTTTATTTCATTGTCCATTAAAGTGTCATTTTATAATTTTACGGCGATGGTCGTAATTCGTGTTCAATATGAATATGAGTCTGCTTCTTTTATATTGATTGACCATCATGTTAAAGATGTTATTCACCATGCTAATTAGTGGCTGATGGAAAAGATATCAAATGTAGGGTAAAATTTTTAATCGTCAACTCATCTCTTATTTTGTTTTATGATATTAAGTTTGTTTAATATATGTATTGAAGAATTGAAAAAATTCATTTTAACCCATTAATGCATCCAATTCTTTTTAATATAAAAAGCTGTCCACATATATGGCATTCAACGATTTATACCTTTTTTGTATGTTCCCCGCGTTTAACGCGGATTATAATCTAGTATTATGTCATGTGTCATGTAAATATATTAGGCAACTCATTTCAAAATTCAAATTTACATTTTTTAATTATATGTTAAATTTGAAGTTATAATAACTATAAAATTTTAAAATATCTTTTAATTAATAATTTATTTAAAAAATTGATTAATAATTATAAATTATAAATTTTTATTACGAATTAACTTTAGCGGAAATCACTAATCTAGCCTTTTTTTTCTTAATCACTTATCAAAAAATAGCCAAAATATACCAATTAGCCAAAAATAGCCCACAAAACCGTAGTCAACTTAGGGTTGACTATGGTCAACGCCTTTGACTGCTATTTTATTAAGAAAAGTACTGTTTTGTGCAAATGGGCTACTGTTTCATGGGTCCGTTTACTTTTTCGTGGCCCATTAGCCCAAAGTATATAAGGAATTTTTTTTCAGATTATGTCATTTTGCCTATTGTTTTCTTTGCTTTGATTACTTTTTTCTCTCAATGGAGCACCCGAAGAACAATCAGGTTTGTCTACTTTTTATCAAATTTTACCGTATTTGTGATTAAGAGTAGGTTTTATATATGTGGTTAAATTTTTTTTTGAAAAAAAAACGAAAATAAAAAAAATATAAAACCGTAGGTTTCATACGAAACCTACGGTCTACAAGTGCCCAATGCACAGATTGTGCATTGTCGACTTGTACACCTACGATTTCGTATGAACCGTATGGAAATTAATTTTTTTTCGTTTTTTTTTTAAATCGATTCAACGGGATCGGAATTATGTTAATTTTGTAATCGTATATTTTAAAAAAAACGAAACCGTAGGTTTTATGGAAACCTACGGCTTCGTAAAATTTTTAAATAACTAATAAACATTTGTATCCCATTTTATGTATTTTAGGATTTTTTGTTGGCAAAAAAAAATTGTAGGTTTCCTAAAACCTATGTTTATATATATATATATATATATATATATATATATATATATATATATATATATATATATATATATATATATATATATATTATATAATATATATATTTAATTATTTGCAAAAGAAAGTTATTTTTAAACGTAATTTTCATGATTGTATCCCCTTGTATGTATGTTATGATTCAATGTTTGCATGTTGTTTAAAATGATGTTATTTTCTATATCTCAGTTATAGCATACATTAACAATGTACTATTGATTTGAAAATGTTTTTATTTTTATAATTTGTAGATACTTTGAAGTATATTGTATTGATAAAATAACATTGTGTTTTGCTACTTTCGGGTTTGTAATAAAATATGTTAATGTCACACCATTTATAAAACTTTATTTAACTTTAATGTTTATTTAATTTTGTAGCTTCCAAACAAATCGATGATGAGTCACTTATCTGTCAAAGCTTCATGCCGTAAATTGCATGAAGCTTTGAGTCGCTTGAACGGACCCGTGCGCGATCTGTTTTCAACAACTAGCTTCGGTTACTCATTGGACTTACCAGCTCAGTCCGAAGACGGACTTCTTATTCATGGGCTGTTACTTCATATGTTGCGTCCTACTGCTGAAACGGACACCGCTGAACGCCTATATTTTAGGTTTTCTAGATGTACGCTATCATTTGGGCCGGAGGAGTTTTGTCTGGTGACCGGACTTTATATGGGTCGGTGTCCTAACTCAAGGATCGAATTTTCAACCATGTATAAATAGGGATATGGTGAAAATACATTTCAGTCCAGAGTCTTCCCATATCGCACGAACACTTCTTTAGTTTTCGAAGATTTAGAGCTCCTTATCTTGAATCAACGGTTCAATGACATATCGGCTCAAGACGATGTTCGTGCCATTTTGCTATATATCCTCAATCAAGGTTTTTTTGGGAAAGGAGCTTAATGATAAAGTCAGTAAGGAATATTTGTGGGTGGTGGAGAACGTGGATCAATGGAATAGGTATTTGCCAATTTAATGATTATAATAAAATACTAATTTTTATACGTTTAACTAATACTTTTTTCTTATAATATAGGTTCTCGTGGGGGAGTTATCTATGGAGTAAAACATACCCTAAATTGTCGGGTATGTTTAAGAAATTTGAGGATTATATATCCAACCATCCAACAAAAGCGATTGTGTACACACTATCGGGTTTTGTTATTCCTTTGAATGTATATTTAACTAATTAAAAAAATATATTTAATAATTTATCGGATTTTATTATTATTATTTTTTAAATTTTAGTTATTTCTAACTCTTATAAATTAACGTATATTTATTACAAGATATGAATATGGGACATGTTTCCAGCAATTAGGGGAAATGGTGTTATACGACGAAATTATTTATATCCGCGTATATTGTGCTGGTTTCATATTAGGAGGTTAACTTGGGAGAAAGTCTACGATCTTTTCGATGTTCATCAGGACGAGGCGCATCAACCGAAAAAAAAAAGATGATTGCCTCAGATGCCGAGGCCTCTACTTCACATTATCTGTCATATATTACTAGTTTGAATTGTGAATCGTCTGAAGTCCCTTCTTCTGTACGCTACAACTTTAGAAATGATGTAAGTAAATTTGTAAAAGAATAATTTAGTATAATAAAAAATTTCAAGTGTCATTGATATATGAAAAAATTTATGTAGGGGGCATCTTCGTCAAAAACAAGCTGTGGAAACAACCAATCTTTCAAGTCTACAAAGCGAACTCATATGGTGGAAATTACCAAAAGACCGCGCGAGAAATAATGGCAAGACTTGAATCTTTGAAGGAAGAAATCCGAGGATTGAAAAATAAAGGTGGAACTCGAGACGGTGATGATTTGGAACAGTTTTTTAATGACACTTTTGAGGTATTACTATCAATTTAAATGTATATGATGTATTATTTAATTTTTTAACGAAGCTTTTTATTAATTATTTTTTCTTTAAATGTAGGGGAATGAGGATGTGGTATATAGTCCACAACAATCAAATAGAGTTAACGAGGATGATCATGTTGTTAATCCACTAGAGGATGATTCTAGAAAACAAATCGCGGATGTGGTTATTTTTTTGTTTTGTATATTAAACTTTTTATTTTTTCAAAGTATATTAAAAAATGAATATGTTTTTTTTTTTGTAGAAGAAGAATAAAAAGAAGAAGGTTGTTGCTAGCGACATTGTGGATGCGGAAAATCATATACCCATGCCTGTTGTTAAAGAAGGTCGTGCGGTTAGGCAATTGAAACCTTCTCAATATCTTAGTTCTCGTTATGTTTTGGTAAGTATGGTAAAAATCATATTTACTATAATTTTATTACTATATGGATAGTTATTGACTACGTATATAACGTAGGTTCAAAATGCCCCCGATATCGTACAGGTGGGGTAATACACAACGAACAACCGCCCCCCGTATTTGTCAGCGATCCCTCATCACTTTTAATGGAGCCGTATGTGAATTCGGGTTGTAATGCTCCTGCTCTATACATGGGCAACAAACCGACTGTTTTTTTTTTGAAACATCGGTTATACAATGAAAAAATGGAAGCAAGGTTTTGGGATCGGATTTTTTATGCAAGTGAAATGGGATTTTTAGATGAAGCGGTATGAAGACATTCCTTTATATTTATAATATAAAAAGTTTATTGGCTACTTATGTTTCAATTAAATTTAAAATCAACATGTTGACCTATGGAGAAGGCTTTTGAATGAGCGGAGACCGAACGATGCTCGATGGACAATCATGCCATCGTTATTTTTTGGTGGATTTGAGATGTTCCAGTAGGCAGGAAGTGCAACGGGAAATCCGTTTGACCCATTGGATGGATGTAAATCTTGGCTGGAAGTTGACCGTGTAAGTAAAGAAATAATATATATTATCAGTGAATTTAATTGTAATTAATTGCAACGGTTGTGTGTTAAAACAGGTTTACTTTCCAATATGCATCAACCCACATCATTGGGTACTTGGCGAGTTATGGATGGACACGCTGTCATTGAATTTCTACGACAACTTCCGATTATTTGGCGCCGTGAAGATTATTCATTTTTTTCGGTTTGAAGAGCTTATAGACCGCATTCTGGTGGAAATTTCGTATTGGAACCACATGGGTTTGCCTATTCATAATGCATCCATCACTGTTACGGATGTTACGAACGTACCCCAACAAATGGGATGTATGGAGAGTGCGGTGTGTTTATGCTGATGTTCATGGAGTAGCTTGTTTCAGGTCGACCGATTGGTATATCGATGGCAACTGTTGTTGCTGCTACTCAGTTTCGTTATAGGATGGCCATGATATATTATGGATCTTCTATACAGTCGATTTTGAGTTAGTTCGAGTTATATGTTTTTAATGACATTCAATGTGTACTGTTTGATGACGATTAGTTAACAAAATTTCCCCTAATTATTAAACTTAAACAAACTATAAAGAGAATACTACATATTATATAGACTAATAATAATAAACAAGCAAATATAAAACTTATTACATAGATAAACTCATAAAAAGGCATAAACTTACTACTTGATTAATCATGAATTATTAAATTCAAACATCTGGAAAATCATTTGAAAATTTTGTTTTTTCTTGAATCACCCAGTTGTAATTCTTTTGTATGTTTTTGTGAATATTTTTCGTTTTAACCTCTTCTTTGCTTGCGTAGTCAATTGCATCTCGTACCTAAGCCCTTGTAGTTTTTATGTCGCGTTCTTTGTCTTGAACCGACCTCATTTTAGACCAAATATCGGCTTGTAATTTATACAACCGTTTCCTATCTTCTTCAACGCCTTTAATCTCGTTCTTGATCTCTTTTTCTTTTGTTAACATTTGCAAACGCTTCTCTTGTGGCATCAACCACCATTTTTCTTGAGAGGTCGACATTGATTATATGTGTACGAGGGTTACCGATTAACCACTAATATATTATTTGTAAATCTCAGACACATACATTTAAGTGTCTATATATAATTGACAATTTAACTACTTTTTATAGGCTTAGACTACTGTCAAATAGGTTTTGACTACTATATTAGGTTTTGTCATATCGTACCAAGACATTATTGTAATTCGACTATTTTTTTTATTGGTTTTGACTACTTTCTATTAATCTTTGACTACTATTTTATTAAAGTGACTATTTTTCTATAGGTTTTGACTAATATCTTCTAGCCGTTGACTACTATTTAATGTACATTTCTTATCAATTTAGAAATCAAAGAAACAATACAAAAAAATTGCAGTGTGAAAATGACAGAAAGATCAGAGGAGATGAAAAGGATCCTGACAAAATTTAATTGGCCATCTACGTCCAACAATAAGCCTTCTTTGGAGTCAAATTCCCATAGTGTTTCAACAAATCCCCTTCCCCATGTCGATCATCCTATATTAGGGGAGAAGATGGATGAGGAAGTGAAAAAAGTGTTGTTAAAAAGAGAAGCTGATGTGGATAAGACTTTTGAAGATTATCGTTTCCAACGAAACCTTCTGGACAACTACTGGGATGACATTGATTGTAAAAGGAATTGGATTATAAGAACTAGGGAAGAAATCTAATCTGCCGAGAGTTCGATCCGCTCTAGTGAAGAAATTTTTTGAAAGATAAAGACTGAAATAGAACTTCGTGAGTACCATTTGGAGAAAAAAAAACGGAAGTCATTGCTATGAAAAAAGAGTATCCTTACGAGTTTCCGATGTGGGAAGAAGATGAGTAATATTTTAATAGTTTGCTTGTTTGTTGAAGTAATTTTAAGGTAGAATATATGTCTATGTATTTATTTTAATTTTAATTTTTAGGTAATATATATGTATCTTTGCTTTTTATTAGTGGTTGTTCAGCAAAATAAAAATCTGTAAGAGTATTTGGTTTACTTATGTTTACTAATCTAATTATGTTAATGTCAAATAATTTTATTCGATTGAGTGTTGTATCGTAAACTAGATACCTATGATGTGTTTTAATGTCAAACAATGTATTTAACATAATAGGTCGTATTGGTTCTTTTTGGAGTCGCGTGTTTCACTTGTTTCATTATGAAATGGGTTGAGGTTATTAATAGACCAAAAAAGATGTAAATTTAAAAATGTTACAAGTGAAACGACCTGTGATGAAATTGTATTTGATATTCCACAAATCATGTTTGTTTTATTTTGATATTCCATGTTAGAACTACCCTTCCTTAAGTCTAAATTGTATATGAAGAAATAAATATTTGATATTCCATAAATCATGTTTGTTTTATTTTTAACCAACATGTAGATTACAACTAGTAGAAAACAATATTAAAGGATAGCATAACAAGTTATCATAGATGGAAACACAAACCATTACAAATAATAACGTACATTACATTTTACATTTTACAACTTGTAGACAACTACACCAAAAAAGAAAATCCAACTAAATAGTAATGCCATCTTCAAATGTAGTATTTTGCTTTGAAGCTTCTTCTTCGATCGAGCTAAGTTAGAAATTATCATCGAATTACTGTCTTTTTCCTCATCCACCCAACAAATAAACCCAGTCTGTGGTGGCTGATAAATAAATATAAAAAAAATATTTATATTGTTTAAATATTCGGTAAAAAGTTATAATATAAATAATTACAGTACATACCAAATACCTCTTTAGGACAAGTGTAAAACAACCGTCTAGGGTTGTTGGTAGTTCTTGAGGTCTTTATAATACCTTGAGCCCCACAATTGCAAATAGTCATTTCTTTGGTTTGGAGGGTAAAACTAATGATGTAATCCAGATAGTATTTGAAATCCAAATATTTTCCGACGAACAACTATGTACAAAGAAGGTAAGAAACATATAAAACATAAAAATAAGCATTAAAAACATACTTTTATGGTAACCTGAAAACAACAACTTATGTTATTTTATGTCGTTTTTAACACCATGAAGCATACTTTGGAGGGTAAAACCAATGAGGTAATGATATCGGATTTGAAATCCGGATATTTTCTGACGAACAACTATGTACAAAGAAGGTAACTAACATATAAAACATAAAAATAAGCATTAAAAACATACTTTTATGGTAACCTGAAAACGGCAACTTATGTTATTGTATGTCGTTTTTAACACCACGAAGCATACTTTGGAGGGTAAAACCAATGAGGTAATGATATCGGATTTAAAATCCGGATATTTTCCGACGAACTACAAAGAAGGTAACCAACATATAAAACATAAAAATAAGCATTAAAAGCATACTTTTATGGTAACCTGAAAACAACAACTTATGTTATTTTATGTCGTTTTTAACATCACGAAGCATGGAAAAGATATTACAAAGACAATGGAAAATATATTACAAACATAATATATTTCTAATATATTACAAACACAATGTCAAATATATTACAAATATATTACAAACATAATAGCAAATATATTACATACACAATGACAAATATATTACAAACATCATTATTTAACAGGAATAAAAGTTACATTGGCAATAACAACCAACAAAGGGTCTGGTGTTTCTCATTCAGATGGTGGGGGAAGAGGGTGAACGGTTTGTGTCTGGTAGATGAGTTGAAATACATCAGCATGGTAATATATGATGAGATTAAACTTTCTTTTAATCTATGAAGATCGATTAGATCTTGAACAAGTATGTAAATAATGACGATATGAACACAATAAAAGAACAGAACAAGATTGAATCAAACGAGTCGAATGATTAAAACAAAATCCTCAGAAGAGCTCGATTAAGAACATCAACTGTAGAGGATTGGAAGGTTACAAGAACGATCAAAGAAACCTTTTGTCGTTTAGAAAAATCGTATACTCAGATCTCTAAAACCTTGACCTAATATGCATGCAAGCATTAGCTTATATACAAAGCATAAAAGACTCACGGTTGGACAGGCCCAAACCGGAATATAAATAAAAGTATAATTAGACGAGCCCAAAAGACGCAATCTATAAAGCCCAACAATCTCCCCCTTTGCGTCAATTTGGAGCGAGATATTAACTAATTTCTTGGGCCAGCAGCCGAAACCGGTACCTTCTTCACGGTACTAAACAGACACTTGGTGATTGAAAGAATGGTCTGTCTAAACCGGATGTACCAGTTAATCATATCTTCAAAATACTTGACATCATCCGCCGAGTTCTCTTTACACCGTTTGACAATGAACAGCACATGCTCCAAACAGGTTGTGGTGTAAAGATGCTTGTCAGCTAAAGCGAAGAGACATTTCTGTCCTTCCGCTCGAGTGAACATGACGGTGTTACGCCTTGGGTCAATCTTGCCCAGCAGCATTTGATTGAGATCACTAGCCGATCCCACAGGAGCAATTTTGGGTTTCTTCTTGAAGACTGTGGCGACCTCCTGATCCATAAGGGCAACCTCCATGATGTAGCAGATTAACATCCTTTTGACATGGTCTAGAATGGGACCATATTCAGCTTCATTGGTCAAAAGGATATTATACAGGACGATCCAATCATGAGGATTTAGATTCGGTAGATCTGCCAGAGAGATAAGATGAGCAGATTTTGCAGATCCCCGAATCAGTTTGAACCGAACGTTTATAAAACGTCCTTCAGTATATGGTTTTAGCACCCGAACGTTTACAATCTTCTGGGCGCTCCATGTAAGGAATTGTGGACGAGCAGCCTTCAGATAGAAGTCAATGAGCTCCCTGTCAAGCTCAGCGTTCGGGTGAGGGACTTCAAAAATATTAGAGAAGACGTGGAAGATGAACGCCTTTCGAGTCAACGGCATATCGAACTGCGAATCGACAGTGTTGCTGCAGTCGAACGATATAACCGGCTCGAGCCATAATATGCTGGGTGTTTCAATGGCCTCTTTGATCAAGCGTTCCCTGGTCCAGGCAGGGAAGAGAGTCTTTCGGCTCTCAAGGAGATCGTGGGCTTCTTTTTGTTTGCGTTCGGCTTCGGCAGCCTCACGCGCCACACGACTGGCATCCTCACCAACATTGCGACTGTTCTTTCGTTTTAAAATGTCAGCAATAGTCTCCTTGTCGCCTTCTTCATCTTCGTCCTCAGCTATAATTTTGCCTTTGTTCTTCACATCCGAACCTAAAATTTGATGAGTTGAAGATGGTTCAGTTGTGTGAGTAGCTTTGGAGGAAGGAGGTGGTTTTGAACTTGTCTTCTCATCTCCCCCTTGTTTCGGAATGGACACAAAACTTGGGAGGCCTTCGACTTTGTTGAGTAGATCGATGGCTGGAGAGAGTTTTTCAGCAAGGGATCGCCTCACCGAAAAGTTTAAAATGGGATCGTGTGCTTCCAGAATGTTTGAAATAACAGCGTGGACATCCGAAATACACGTCTTCACCACCTCCCGTT